CAGAGTACCACTTCCTAAACCACGTCCCACCAGAAGTCAATCAAGTCATTAAAGCAAACTCTGATTCCCTCTAACAATGTTAGGGAGTTAAGAGCATTGGCAGCACGATGTCAGCAGCTAATCACATCCCCTTGGCACAGACATCTGTGTGTCTGGGATGGACAAGGAGCAGAGATGCTGCTGGTTAACCAGGTACTTCAGGAGACATATATTTGCTCTTCGGGTCAGCAGCCAGCTCAGATTCTACTGCTTTTAACTCCCCAAGGCCAGAGCTGTGCTGACCACTGAGGATGCTCCCAGTTGGGTACCAAACTGATAATGTGGTACTTGACTCCAGGCACTCCACAGCCGCAGCGCTGTGAACCCCTGTGCCCCAGCACACCTAGAAAGCATCTCCTTGGACACAAGATCTCCCACCTGCAGCAGAGGGGTAAGGATGTTGAAGAGAGTGGAGGAGGCTGCTGGGGAATATCACTGCCCTCCCACTCCGCTCCATAATCGGATTTGGAGCGACGTGAATCACTCGGCACCAGGACACGATGAAGAACCAACATGCCTCGCTGTTCAATACACAGCTCCTGGGAGCGTGAGTCACAGCTCAGGTTTCAAGGTGGGATGTTGAATGTAAATCCTTTCTGAGAACTACCCAAGAACACTACGCACGTAGCTACGATCTAAGAGGTCAAACCTGGCCTCCCAGCCCTGCAGCCTGCTGTGACCCTGACAAAGCCATTTCCCCTGGGTTTAGTGTCTGCAGGCTCAGGAGGATGAGCTGCTCTGAGCCATGGGCAGGTCCAGGGAGCAGGATAACGCACCAGGTCCCTCCACAGCACCAGAGAAGGCTTCACCTGCACCCAGAGGAATGAACAAACCCTCCTTAGCTTTATCCCAACCTGTTCCAAGGAAGGCAGGTTACATCTCTTGCCTATCCAGATATATTAGAGACAAGACTGAATTTTCTTTCATTTGTAGTAATTAAAGCTTGGTGATTATCCCACTTATCAAATACCAAGTCTAGACACGGACTTTTCACTGCAGTTCATACCAAATCCACCCAACTCCATTTCACATGGACACACGTGCCTTACATGAGGCAGCCAGTTACTCTGCATGTCAGCCATCTCCTTTTGTACAGATCTAAAAGGAATCTTCTCCCTGGCTTAGTGCAGCTACATGGGTCCCACCACCCGTGTGAGCACCCAGCCACTCCTGCTCCCAACCTCTCCTACAGCCACGTTAAATAAGTGTTTACATCTCCAACAGCAAAGCCCTCAGACACGCAGGGCCCTGGAGAGCTGCACACTTTCCCATTCCCAGCCATCTCCATCCCAGCTCCTTATCACCATCCCCTTATCACATCCCCAGACAACACAAGCCAAGGCAGCGGCCGTGCTTTGGGAGTTTTCTTTCTTTTCACAGCTTTAGTGATTTTAAAACCTCAAGATGTGAAGGAAGGGTCAACGATTCAACAGTGATTAAGTCTGAAACATCCCACTTACTACCCATTAGACTTTGAAAACACCCATTTTGTTCCCAAAGCGGTCCCCAGAGCACAGCCAAGCAGTACCAGCGCTGGGGAAAGCTGCTTTCTTGGAAGGCTTTGAGGTGTCTTGTGAAAATACCAAGTTCATTGCAATAAGCAAGAAAAAAAATAGCAAGAGGCAATAAAAGAATCACTGTATTGTGGATCTGTAATAGCATTGCCCCAGAGAGAGAGAAAACAACAAAGTCTGATGGAGATTTTCTAGTCTCAAAACCATTTGCACTGTTATTGTTTGCAGCTAAGAGCAGACAAGAACACATAACCCAGCAGCTGAGGTCCCTGACAGTTGCAGGGCTGCCTGCTTCTGGGTTTGCTCTTTAAGAATAACATCAAACTGTACCTGAGATGGAAAGTTTTAACCTTACAGAAATAGCACAAACCTTACAACAGCCTTAGAGCCTGCAGGGCTGGAGCAGCCTTTGAGCTCGCACTTGCTCCAGGAGCTAAATGACTCCAAGGACGCAAAGCCCACTGAGTCTAGCACAAAAATTCCTTCCATCCACTTGGAAAAACCCAAGCTGGTATTTCAAGTCTTGAAAAATCCCGTAGATTTGAAACACTTCACGAAACATGCAATTAAGCAAAGTGGTTAAATTATAGCCTGATTTAAGAAGGTAGCAAAATGAAGGATCAGTTCTTCATCTTGATCTGCTCCCAGTTGTGCTCAGGATACTGTAAACCACTATTTCACTTTCCAACCAAGAAAAAGCAGAGGAGCAATGAGATCAATTCACTCAATTACATTTGTCTACTGCAAAGCTGCTGCTAAACAGGGGAAAAGAAAACTGTGGTGCCTCAGAGGCTATATCCCCACGCAGTCAGGATGGCCACCATCTATCCCACGTACACACCCAGGAGCTGGGGGAGCCTGATGAGGTTCCACCACCTTGACTAAGAAGCTCCTTCTTTAAAGATCTATTTAAGGAGGAAACAGCTGCCAACAAGACAATTTCTTCCACACTTTGGCAGCCACAATTCTATTAACCTCCAAAACAAGGAGTGACAGCGCAATTAGGGAGGGCCACCAAGGGTCACTGCCATGGGGCACCTTCAGTGTGATGTAATTTGGCAAGGGCAGGGTTAGCACTAGCTGCACCCACGCTGGAAATACACTTATCTCAAGCTAAGCTGATGATTTCATTTCCCCGGTGAATGAGATATCTAATTATCAATAATTCATAGGCACAGACAGACGTGCAAGTGGTTTTGAGAACTGAAGGGGAAACACAAGTAATGATTCTTGGAATAGGAGCCAGCAGGGAGACAGATCCAGAGAGGGGAGAGAAGGTGCACTCTGCATGCACATGTCAAAACCAATCTAATTTCAATCACATACGTGACAGCCCAGGTGCCAGCATAAGCGGGGTGTTTCCCCCGTACACTCTGCAGCTGGTATATGACAGGATGCTTGCCTGGATGGAGCCCAGCTCTACCTATCCGGATGGACAACTCGCTCTCGTAGACCAGCTGATGGGCAGGTTCGTGCTCATACTTCTCTTTCATCGCTCGTTGGTCGAAGCTCAAGGCAAACGCTGCGTGGGGAGCCCCGCTGAAACCCTGCAAAGAAGAGAGAAGGTCAAGGGTTTCCCCACGTATCCCCATCAACCTTCCCTAGCACCATCCTCAGGAACTGCTCTGGCATCTGCGTGGTTGGGAAGGCAGTTGGGGCATGTGCCACAGCTGCAGTGGAGAGGTGACTTTTGGGTTCCCCTCTTTCTCTCCAGACCGCCCAGCTGTTTAGATTTAAACATTCATTTCCAGTAGAAGCATCAAGAAGAGGGTGCAGAGGAGCCAAGAAGTGAAGGGCTAAAGAGAGAAAGCCAAAATTCATGTGCATTAACAGCAAGAAATGTAATTCCATAAATGCAACTCGAAAGTCAACATGAAGGAGACCAGCAGACGAGGAGGGACATGCGTGAGCAGCTCACAAGGGGTTGAGCTGCTGGTCGAACCTTTGCCAGAGTTCAGTTTGCAGCAGGATACTGGTTCTTCAGCATGGAGGGAGTGTGCCAGGGAAATGGTTTGTTCCAAACTGAACCCATCTGAGCATCAGACAAGACACCACGTTCACAATCACCCAGTGTTAGTGCAGTGGGGCTCATCCAGATGGCCTGAGGAAACTTCAGACTCACTTGGAACATATTTCTACACCATTTGTAACCTCCAAAAAGCAAAGAAGGACGGCCAAAACCAATACTGTCCAGCTCTGCATAGAGCCTGCAGGGAATCCAAGCAGACACCCTGTAGCAAGACAGACCACACTGTTCCCATGAGTGATTCCTGCCAACGTGGATACAGCCCATGAAAACCAGACACAACTCAAAAGATATGCCAGAGACTTTATCTGCATCAGCCAAAGAAAACCTGGCAGACATCATGGCCTTTTCCCATGGTGCTGGACACACAGAGAAAGGTCAGATGTCCTTCTGGATGTCCCCAGGCTGCCCCATCCCACCCAGAGACAGCTATGAAACTGGTAGGAAATACAGGGTTAGGAGCATAACCACATAGCTAAGAGAAGGGAGCATGTCCCATGGAGGTGGCTGTACAACCTGGTATAACCAGGTCCAAAACGTGGGAAGCAGGACCCCAAGTCCCTGTGTCCTCACAGGGCTGGGATACATCCCCTGGGAGCATCCGCAGGGACGGATGTCCAGGCTGCATGGGAACACAGGCTTAGCTGCTGGATTGATGGCAACAGAATAAATGAACATACGCGGAACAGGCAGAGACAGTAATGAGAGACTTGATGGGTAAGGTCACATTGAACAAAAATAAAGGTTAAAGATGAATAACTAAATCTTCTACTCTCCCCTCATTTGCACAATACAGGCTGACCGGTACTATTAATACTCATCACGTATTTGCTATCTGCTCTCTACTGCAGTTTAATCAGGTGCTTTCACCTCCCTTAACCCAGCAATTCCAAGGTGCACGGGTGAGGTGCTTGGTTCAAACCCCTCTGGCAGGAGGGAGACCCACACAGCCCCACTGCGCCAGCTCACAGGAGACACCAGCAGCTCTGCACCCTCAATCCCCAGCAGCACCTGGAGGAACAGGCAGAAATACCAGTGTTCTCCAGTAAAACCTGGACGATGTGACACAGTGAGGAAAGGGGGGAACCTTCAGCATCGTGACCCGACTTGAGTAAGGCAGGAAGAGACTGAGAATGGAAACTGATTTGCAGGCATTGCACAGGGCTCTCCAGCCCTGCTCCCACTGCTGACTGCCTCCTGCTTGCCATTGCTCTCACCTCAGACCTGGGGAACACAAGGTTTCATGGAGCAGAAGACTCCTTCCCCATGGTGTCTACCAACGCTTTGTTAAATGAGATACAATCACTGCAACAGCAGCTTTGCAGGCTTTATCACTACCAGATTTATGGCTTTTCCCCAGTCCAAAGACTCAAATGGGTCTTGTCAGGCAGGGAAGCAAGCCCAGGGCACAGCCAGAGCCCGCAGGACTCTGCAAGTTACAATAACCCAACCAAGAGGAAAGAAATCCCTTGCACAAGCAGGAGCAGGCAGGTAACGTTCAGCGTACACTCTCCATTACCATCTCCATAGATGCAAACAAGCAAGGGCCCTGCGAGGTCAAGACCACTTGCCTCAAGGTCTGCAGCCCTGGCGAGGAGCCTCCCATGGCTATTTTATGTATCACCATTCCCAGCACATCCAGTACTTATGGACGTGGTAGCCACAAATCTGCTTGCAGTGAAACAGAGGCAAACTTGAAGACATTTCAGATGCTTATTGTAAGGTCAGGTCACCCCCCTGTTGCAGGCAGGAATATACAACACCAGAAACACAGGGAAATATTGGTGACCTTCAGTAAAGCACACGCTTTAATCCGACTGTGATTGCTCTGAGTCATTCCAGTCCAGCCGCTGCGCGAGGCCCCTAATTGGAATGTGGCACTGGGTTAAAAAAGCATTAGGAAGAGAAGAGGAAAGTCAACCCACGTTAATTAGTTCATGCCAGTAATTAGCGTTAACTGAAATAACCACAGGGGCTTCAAAAAGCGAGCTGCAATGAGAGACTTGGACAGGAAGATCTGGGAGGAAAACTATTCTGGGATGCGGGAGTCCCCACTGCACTCGCCTCCGCTCACGGAGCTACAAGGGAAAGGTCATTAGATTGTCAGAGCCCCATGTGTAAAAACACAGACAAGGAAACAGAGATAATCTCTGCAGAGAGCCTGAACAGGCTTTTGTTACCCAAAAGCTGCGGCAATCCCAAGTTAATCCATATGGAAACGTGCCACTCTCAAGGGATGTGGCCATCATCCTGGTATCGATGGTATCGCCCTGCTATTGCAAGGCAAAGGGGTGAGACAGGGAGGAGGGAGCAGCTGCTTGGTTTTAGATGAAGCAAGGATTTGGGATTGCATCCTGCCCCTTGCACAAGTTGCTAAGAAAGGAATGAAGAGCGAGCAATACCTTTGAGAAACAACCTGCTCTTCTCCACCTGACCACTGAAGAAGAAGAAGCTAATAACCAGTGGTTACAAAAGCTGATGGTCTGGCTTTGGGTAGATCACTTGGTACCAGATCTGGAGGTGCTGCTTGTCTGGCACGGTTGGTGATGCTGCTCTTCCCATACAATATCTTGCTGGCTTTAACCCAGCAAACACCCTGGAACAGGCTCCACAAAGCCAAAGGAAACAAAGACCATAATGCATCAATTAACAGCAGAAAGCACCTCAACAGGGAAGAGAAATTGAATAAATCCAGCTATCTTATTAAAAAGAAATAGAAAATGTTCCTAACTTGTCCAGGAGCTAACACAGAGACAATAAGAGACGATAATAAGCCATGCTTGGATGGTGCCCAGCGGCTCCCATTTCGCACTTAGTGACAGTGATAACAGATCAGACACCAGAAAGTGGTAAGAGAAAGAGCAGGGTGTGGAGAGCAGAGAGGGGAAGGGGAGATGCTCCAGGTCCCCAGCCCACAGGGATGGACCCAGCACGTCTCTGCAGCCTCCCTATGCCCCTGGTGAGCTCAGGGCCAGCTCCATGCATGAGCCACTTGCCCAGCTCCATTGCTTCTGCACGGCTGCACAGAGCCCAGTGCCTCTGGGGATGGAGACAAAGGCTGGGCAGTAACAAAGCATCAAGTGCCCGGCTCTTCTGAGGCAGAAAACTGGATTTATGTTCAAAATGTGACACAGGAAGGGAGCTCCCTTAGAAAGCACTGAGTTATCAGAGAGAGCCCATTTGCATGTAAAGCAGCAGGCTGGTATTTTGTTATTTGAAGCAATATATCAAAGGCTGGAAGCTCCCAAGTGAAACTCCGTGTTCGTTATGTATCCCTGTGCCAGCAGCACTCGTTTGTAACCCACTGAGGGCTGAAGAACACACAAGCAATGGTGAGACACCCCATGCTCCCTCAGCACCCTTTGTGTCATCTCTTGAGACCTTGGCTGGTTGTGTTGCTCTCAAAGTCCCTGGAGCACAGAGTTGGGCAGGTGAGGATGTGCCTGGAATGGGGTTTAAAGGCCACAGTGAGTGGTGCTGCCAGAAGCTGTGATGCTATGGGGCATCCCACCTAAAAATGGTCACCCAGCTCCACCTTCCCCCACCACAGCATCCCTCAAAACTGCCCCATCCCTGGCAGTGTTCAAGGCCAGCTTGGACACAGGGGCTTGGAGCAACCTGCTCTAGTGGAATGTGTCCCTGCCCGGGGCAGGGGGTTGGAACTGGATGAGCTTTATAAGGTCCCTTCCAACACAAACCTAAATCTGGGATTCTAAAACAATGCATCTCCCAAGCTCTTCTAGGATAAAAAATAGAATGATTTTGGTCAATATTGACCTGGCACGAATTGATGGGTTAAGGGAAGGAGTTAGCAGGACTTGGATGGCAGCTCCTCTCAAAGCCAGGATCACTCCAAATACAAAAATCCACTCCAAATACAAAAATCAACAACTCAAATGCAACCTTAAACACTCCACACAATAAAGCCAGGCTCCTCTCACTGCTGAAGTGGGTGCAGACATATTTATGATGAATAGCATCCGATACACCGCTCTGGGACGCAGCAAACCACCCTTGTTTTAGCCCTGAGCCCTGCCATAGCCCAGTCCACAACTGGGTCCTACCCACAGCACCCAAACCCCCTTGATCCAACAAACTGCACCCCCATAAACTGGGAATAAACCGGGGGATATCCAGCACAGCCCAGACCACCACAACCGCTCCATATGCCAGAGTAACCCCAACCCCACACCAAAACCCATGTAATGAAGATGGAAAGCCAAATTTACCCTCATATGAAAGTTGAAGGGTCTCCACGTGTTGCAGGTACATCTCAGTTTGCATTTTAATCTGGAGGGTGCTAACAAAGGAGCAGCAGTAGTGGGCACAGCAGATGGAAAGGCACTTCCATGCCAGTTCTGACTGAGCTCGCTAACGAGAGCTGGGGCAGCACTGTCTGTCACGCTGCAAAACCTTTTCCTTCCATTTTCCCTCGAGTTCAACTGCCTGAAGTTTTTAAAGCCACAGCATGTGCAGCCAGAGGCTGCAATCAGAACTGTCCTCTGAAGCCTCCAATGCAGT